CGGGTGGCGGGATGTAATTTGCAATCAGACGTCGAAGTCGCAGGACGAAAACAAGGGAGTCCCTCGCGCCCGATTGGCTCGTAGCCAGTGACGGATCGCCGCGGTCTTGCCGACGGGGTGGCGTTTTGTCACTCTCGCAACCCTTCGCGGCGCGCGCGAACGACCACCCTCGGAAGCTTCGAGCTCACCTTCGGACTTCCGCGCCACGGACTCCGCCGGGCTTCCCTCCTCGGGCGAGCCTCAGCCGTTCTCTATCCTTCCTCCTCTCCGCGAGCGACCTCAAACTCGTCTTTTTCGGTCGGTGATAAATCAATGCGAAGCACTATTTGCGAGAGCGCTCTCAGGCGCGCTGGCTTGCCTTTTCCTAAACGACTGCGGTAAATGCTGCTTTTTCGCGCGCACCCCATAATTCACAATTTCGCTCTCGAAGCTGCCGGTTGTGCCACGTTCTGCGTACACGCGCTCGCCAGAGTTGTTTGCACACTTCGGGCGAAAAGTATGAAATAGACGATTTGCAAACTAAAAGTGTAGAGTTGAACTTTCATTCTTTGAATTTTTTATTTCACCGAACGTACCGGCGGTACTTGTATTAAAACTATTCGATGCCATTGTTTAAAAATTAAGCAATAATTTTATTCCATATGTTTAACATAAATCATCCAGCTTTCTCCTTGGCTTCGTGAGGAATAAATATCTCGCGTAATTACATACGCGTAAGATTTCGTGATTGTTCTCAGAGTTAATAATGTATCTTCCGACTAGAGAAACGATTCGACAAGTATAAATATCCCGCAGACATGAGCTGAACGAACCGGCTTTTCAGTATGGCAAGCGGAACGCGGCGCTAATTTCATAAATAAGTGAATCGACACCTTCGATGCCGCGGAACAAAGTTTCGAAGCACGTTCGCAAACCGTTACCAACCCGTGCGAAAAAACGCGTGCATATTTTAGCCTGAAAAGGATAACTTTAGGATTCATAACGGCGCATTTTCGCGCACCGTAACTTGGCGTGAGCACTTTGTACACAAGGTACATAAACTCGAATTGAGTTTGCCAATGCCAAACTCCCTTAAAAACACACTCCCACAGTGAACGCCTCGCGGAAGTTCACGCGGCTTTTACGGGACTTATAATATAACGGCATATTGCGGTAAACACCGGCGGTTACTATTACTGCGCGCGACGTCGCATTCGCGACAAAGTGCCTTGCCTTCGAACACGAGGAAAATACGCGGTGCGCTGTGTCCGAGCGCGCGATGTCGTTTTTATGGTTGACTTTTACTACTGAGAGAGATAAAAAGTCGCAAAGTGTCGAGTGCACTGTACGTTGCGTAAGAAATAAAGTTGGCGCAATTTACTGCCGCAAAACAATTGCTCGAATGTTTTTGATGCAATTAAACTCCCAATTTAATTAAAATTATATTAAATAAAATAAATATCATGTGATGTATTATATAATGATGGCTGACATTTGTCAGCGCGCGGCGATTTTCGATGCGCTTCCGAAATTAATGATGCACAGATGTAAATGAATGTGGAAATGCAAGAGTACGCTTGTATGTTCAAAGCGCGCAATTAGTAACAAACGTGGCTATTTGCCGCGTTTCATCAGTACGATTGTAAACGGGACATCGGAATTCACCGTCTCGAATAATTTGATTTGGCGATCGTACCAAATTCGTGAAAGCCGTGTCTCACAATCTGTATTTTAACGCCAGCGAATGCGTACCTGTTTCTGCACTCGTATGTACATACATATATGCACATATATATAATATATATATAAATATATAGATGTTTTAAAAAAAAAGGGGGAAAAAAAAGAAATATTGTTACTGACTAATATATTTCATGTACGATGAATGCGCCGTTTGCATACGAAAATGAAATATAGGTTTTATATTCACTTCACTTTTGTCAAAATCCTCACATATTTTATCAACGGGGATAAACTTTTGAATTTGCGAGAAAGTCGCGTTTCGGTGTAACGCCGAGAGATCTCGTAATTTAATAACGCGGGATACGAGCGGCGCAGGGCGGGAGTATGATAACTATTTAAAGTAGCTCCGAATGTCGCGACAACTATGTAATATTTCGTCGCTTCTCGAAGCTATTTACTTAAATATAGGAGTTTCATTATAACATTCCCCTCAAGGAATCCGCCACATGTTACATTGTGTAACATCGCGTACGCCAGAATAATTATAACGGGGTTAGCGGGAGAGAAAGAGATGGAGTGAGAGAGAGAGAGAGAGAGAG